CCTCCTCCTCTCCTCCTCCTCCTCCTCCTCCTCCTCCTCCAGATGGATCAAGTTGGGGTAGCCATGTTAGTTTGTCTGCAGCGTTAGAAAAGAGCAAGAGTCCAGTAGCGCCTTAAAGACTAACAACATTTGTGGCAGGGGATGAGCTTTCATGAGTCACTGCTCACTCCTTCAGATACAGCTAGAATTTGAGTCCACCTGTTCTTCTGTCTTGGAGAGGAGTGATTTCAAATGCTGAATGACAATATGATTAGCATTCTAGTTGTATCTGAAGAAGTGAGCAGTGACTCACAAAAGCTCGTACCTAGCCAAAAAAAAATGTTAATCTTTAAGGTTTTATCCAGACAGTAACCAAACAGGTTTGCTGTGCAACTGTTCTGTTTTATGACCTCCATTTGAGAAAAAAAATGCATGCTATAAATTGACAGCTTTTCAGCAAAATATGACATCTATATATAATGTAACATTGTGGCTTTGCTATATAATCTGGAGGTGAATCAACATGCGTAGCAGTGTGTGTGTCTGTAGCACTAGAAAAGAGGAAGAATCCCGTAGAACCTTAACAAATAACAAAATTCGTGGCAGAGTATGAGCTTCCATGAGTCACTGCTTACTTCTTCGGATACAGCTAGAATGTGAGTCCATCTGTCCTTATATCTTGGAGAGTGGAGTGATTTCAGGTGCCGAATGACAATAGCCGGCAGATGACAAAAGCAGACATGATCGGATTAGGTGTGATATGCAGAGGGGTAGTAGGCATGGATAAATCATCATTGATAACGAGCCAGGAAACCTAGGTCTCAATTCAGTCCAGGAGGCTGCATTGTCTTGAGCCTCATTATTTGTTGCAATTCAGCACTCTCTGAATCTTGAGGGGGAGTATCTCTTCCTTGTAGCCTTGGAACAATTTGATACTATCTGAAAGAAAGCAAAAATTGTAACAATTACACAGCTGTCATCATTTTGCAGACTTTTTACGCACACGGGCATACTGGTTGTAAATACTTGAAGTGCATTAAGGGTTTTTTGTTTGTTTTTTTGTTTTCGTTTCCAAGAAACGACAACTAGAAGGAAGTCGTAATTAAGATGTGTAAAGGTTTAGAATGGATAGGGAGAATCTGTTCTCTTCTTATCATATCAAGGTGCCCTCAGAGACTAGAGTTGCAGCCTCCAGGTGGGGCCAGGAGATCTCCCTGAATTACGACTGATCTTTAGACTAGAGTCATCAGTTCCCTCCAGAGAAGATGGCTGCTTTGACGGGTGAACTCTGTGATCTTATCCCCCAAATTTCCAGGAATTTCCCAAGGCAGAGCTGGCAACCCTATCAGAAACCCACAAGCAGCTCATGGAGGTCAAAGACTTCCCTTATTGCTATCTCCACCTAGCCCATAGCTATGGTGGGGCATTCTGGGGCCCAACCTCCCCCAAGTTACTGCCAGCTCCCCCCGGACTTCCCATCCAGCCCAGGCCCCACAACTTCCAATTTTAAAAATTTTATTTGTGGTACTCCCTTGGGGGGCTATGCAGGGTGCCCCCTAACTTATTTAAAGGCCCCCGAAATTAAAAAAAAGAAATCCTGGCTACGAGACTGCTGAGGGTTACTGCCTTTGAACAGAAAGGTTTAATTTAGCCATAGATTTCCCTCTCATGAATCCATGAAAACTATTTAAGAGAGCAACATCCAGTGGCAGTGGATTCTTCATCCAAAAGAAACACATCTGCTGCATAATGAGGTATCCACCAGATGCGGTTTTGCAGGTTTCTAGGAAAGTAATGGAAAGTAATAAAATAAATAATAAATAAGATAAGGGTATGCTCCTAAACCCACTTATATTGATATAATCCTGTTTCCTCCATGGAATATATTTCTCCAAAAAGAAGAATATTACATTAGGATCTTGGGAAGGGCACAAACTGGCTCATGAACTATAATCTGTGATGAATTTTGAGTGGTTCGTGGTTCGCAAACTGAAGTTCATGGCAGGCCAACTGGCACGAACTTTCCACAAACTTTGAAGCAGTTCGTGGTGGTTCGTGAATGGATACATTTCCCAACAGACTGTCTACACTCAATCAAAGCGTTTACCAAACTTCAAAGCAACATAACTTAGAGGGCATATAGATTATCATAAGGGGGAGGTCTTCTGCGAGTTTGATGACTCTACCTTGCACAGGGTCTGTTCTATACACTCCTGAACCTCCGGAATCTTCACCTGTCATATCCCAAGAAAGCACTCTGCTGGGGGGGGGCACCTTTTTTGGGGAGGCATAACTCAGACCCTATAAATCCAATCCTCACCAAATTTGGAGGACACATAGAGGTGAGTTCGCCAGAGATCTCCTGTGAGTTTGGTGTCTCTACCTTCCTGGGGGTTGGGTGTTCTACTGCATTATGGAACTCACAAACTGAACCCATTTGTTTAGCACCTAAAAGTTTGTGACAGTTTCTGCCACAATTCCCGCTCCCCAGCTGAAAGGATTTAGGCATTCAGTGATGGGAAAGACCTCAATCCAAGACCTCAGAGAGCTTTTAGAAGTCAGAGCAGAGAATACTAACCTTAATCAGCCGACGGTCTGTCTAAATAAGCCCCCCCCCCAACAGTTTTGAGTCTGTGGTCGCCTTTAGAATTTTGAAACAGGGCCAAGGGTGCGACCACAAAACGGCCACATGGGTAGTGGAGACAGTCACACACACTCAAGAGCAGGAGATAAGAGGAGTCAATTTTAAAAGGACACTGGGAAAGAGGAGTCTAAGAGAGAATCAAACCAACACTCTAGTGGCTGTTGTCCTGGAATGTTATTTTAATCTGCACAGCCATTTCCTCAAAACACTTAGTAGATGAATCATAGAGTCACAGAACCACAGATTTGGAAGGGGCCCAACAGGCCATCTAGTCCAACCCCCTGCTCACTGTAGGATCAGCCTAGAGCATCCCTGACAAGGGTTTGTCCAGCCCCTGCTTAAAGACTGCCCATGGGGGGGGGGGAGCTCACCACCTCCCTAGGCAGCTGACTCCACTGTTGCCCAACTCTTCCTGGCAAAAAGTTTTCCCTAAGATCCAGCTGATACCTTCCCACCTGTAATTTAAACCCATTCTTGTGAGTCCTATCCTCTGCTGCCAATTAAAACAGCTCCCTGCCGTCCTCTAAGTGACAGCCCTTCAAATTCTTCAAGAGAGCAATCCTGTCCCCCCAGGAAAGGTGTTGATTCCCACGTGGAACAGCGGTGGAGGGGGAGGAATTTGTGGATTTCCTGCATTGCACAGGGGGTTGGACTAGATGACCCTGGAGGTCCCTTCCAACTCTATGATTCTGTGATTCTATGATGTTCCCAGGCCACACATTGGGGCCTCTAGTATCATGTGTTCAATGGATGTGATCAATAAAGGATAGCCGTTAGCTTGGTGCAGTTAAAATAAACAAGAATTTTGAGGCAGTATAGTAAAGGTAAAGGTTTCCCTTGCTCGAAAGCCAGTCGAGTCCGACTCTAGGGTTGCGGTGCTCATCTCCGTTTCAAAGCCGAAGAGCCAGCGCTGTCCAAAGACGTTTCCGTGGTCATGTGGCCAGCATGACTAAACACCAAGGCGCACGGAACGCTGTTACCTTCCCACTGAAGTGGTACCTATTTATCTACTTGCAATCTCTTGCTTTCGAACTGCTAGGTTGGCAGGAGCTGGAACCAGAGACGGGAGCTCACTCCGTCATGCGGCACCCGGGTCTCGAACTGCTGAACTACTGACCTTCCCCAGCCTGCAGTTCGGTGTCTTAACCACTTGAGCCATCGCAGCTCCAGTATAGTATTATAGCTTTAAAAATAAAAGCATAACCTTTTGTGGCCGGACGTCCACCCCTTCCATTCAACACATCACGGCTGTCTTGTAAATGAATCTTCTAACAGACCCTTTGTTTGATTTTTGTCTCGTTCAGGGCAGCTTTTACGTACCATCTGAAAACTGCATGCAGCACGCACACAAGTGGCATAAAGACCTTTGCCTCCTGCTGCTGAACGCTTACCAAGGACTTCGGGTGTACTACGGCATCATCATGAAGGAGATTCCCAGTTTACCACAGCTGAAGTTAGGTAAGCGGCCCGTTCCTGTACCGGATGACATTGTGTGGATCTGATTTGATGGAAACGGCTGGTGAGGCCTGTTTTTGCTGTGTCATTCTGCCCCCTGCTGAAGGTGCTAAGACATGGCATATAGCTGGGAAATGTTGCAACCCCGTTCTGTGTATGTCTGTCATTCCCCAGCATTGTCTTGTATGATCTGCTGTTCTAGCTTGTAGGGCTCCGCGGCATTCTCGTTTGTTGTTGCTTGCGTATTGCTTCAGGTGACTTTTCCATTTCTGCATGTGTTTTGCTCCCTCTAGTGGTCGATTCGGTATTACCTCGCTCTGTAGTGATGCTCTGTATCCTTGATGCATGTGGGCATCAAGGATACAGAGCATCACTACAGAGCGAGGTAATACCGAATCGACCACTAGAGGGAGCAAAACACATGCAGAAATGGTGTTTGGGGGGGCCACGGTAGGAGGGCTTCTGGAGTTCTGGCCCCACTGGTGGACCTCCTGAGGGCACCTGGGTTTTGGCCGTGTGACACAGAGTGTTGGACTGGATGGGCCATTGGCCTTGTTACGTACATGGGCCGCCACGAGGGGTCCGCGGCACAGGCAAGAGCTTGGATCCTAGAACAATGGAAACTTCGGATCCTGGATCCCCCAGCCCCAACCAATAGCCACTTTGGCGGGACATTCAAGCCCTCCAATGGGAATGGGGGGTGCTGGGTGGATATGTATATAGTTGGCCCTGTCGGGCCGTTAGAGTTAGTCTTTGTCTGTGTGAAGTACAATAAACGTGTGCAAAGCATGTCGTCGCCCGAGTCCTCCATGCGGCGAACCCAGTACTTTTCAGGCCTGATCCAACATGGCTTCCCTTCTGTTCTTATGCCGTATGCCTGGCACTTATCCCCAGACTTTAAATGTTCAGGGAGATATGCTGGACATACAGGCTTGTAATATTGAATTGACCACTAAAGGGAGCAAAACGCAAGCAGGAAAAACAACAACAACAACTCACCCCTCCACACACCCTTTACCCAGGGGGCTGGTGGGAACAGAAATGTCTCATCATCTTACATAAAGTAATGTATTGCTTGATTAGTTTTTAATGTTAGTTAATGGATTATTATTGTGTTGGTTTTGATGCAAGCCACCCTGAGCCCTGCTAGCAGGGAAGGGCTTCCTAAAAAGCTGGATATAATAATAATAGTAATAACAACATCAACAGCAATAGCTTTAGTCACACAAACAATGGAAATGAGAATACAGAAGAGCCCTTTGATGCAATGATAATTCCCCCCAAATAAGTCAGGGCCAGATTCGATTGTTTATTTTATTAATTCACTGTGTTGATATCCCAACTTACTTCCATTGTGGAATCCTAGAAAGTGGACATCTGTTCCCATGAGGACTCCCATCTGGGCGTCATCCCGTCTTAGATCTGCTTAACTTGACACGGTTGCTGTGCCATGTGCTCTCCAACCATATGCTAGAGATATAGCACGAGGACCAGTATGGTGTCATGGCTGACATGTTGGACTGGGACAGGGGAGACCCAGGTTTAAGTCTCCACTCTGCTGAGAGCATGTTTGGTGTAGTGGTTGAGTGCGTGGACTCTAATCTGGGAGAACCGGGTTTGATTCCCCACTCCTCCACTTGCACCTGCTGGATGACAGTGGGCAAGCCGTAGTTCTGGCACAGCTGTTCTCTCAGCCCCACCCACCTTACAGAGTGTCTGTTGTGGGGAGGGGAAGGGAAAGGAGTTTGTCAGCTGCTCTGAGACACCTTTGGATACTGAAGGGGGGATATAAATCCAATCTCCTCCTCCTCCTCCTCCTCCTCCTCCTCCTCCTCCTCCTCTTCTTCTTCTTCTTCTGTAAAGCTCAGTGGGCAACCTTGGGCCAACCACACTGTCTCTCAGCCTGAGCGGTGACCATAGGTTGCTGTGATAATAAAATGGAGGAAGGGGGAACCATTTGGGGAGGGGTGTGGCTGCACAGTGATAGAGGGTCTGCTTTTCCTCCAATGGGTCCACGTCCAATCCCTGGTATCTCTAGTGAAAAGAATCATGTAGTCCCCAATGTAGCACCTGTGGTTACCATGGAACCTGCCACTACTCCCTGGCGCCCACTGAGCTTTTGTTTGTTGTTCAGTCGCACAGTCAAGTCCGACTCTTCGTGACCCCATGGACCAGATCACGCCAGGCCCTCTTGTTTTCCACCCTCCTCTGAAGTTTGCTCAATTTCATGTTCGTTGCATCGATGACACTGTCTAACCATCTCATCCTTTGCCATCCCCGTCTTCTTTGACCTTCAATCTTTCCCAGCATCAGGGTCTTCTCCAGTGAGTGCTCCCTTCTCATTGGGTGGTCAAAGTATTTGAGCTTCAGTTTCATTATCTGGCCTTCCAGGGAACAGTCAGGGTTGATTTCTTTTAGGATTGACTGATTCGATCTCCTTGCAGTCCAAGGGACTCTCAAGAGTCTTCTCTATCTATTCAGGGATTATCCAGGGCAGGGCTTGTTGTCGGCCGTCCTCATTCAAAGGAAAGTATTTTCCAGCCATCGGAACACCAGGAGATCTGGGGAGCACACCGGCTTTCTTTAGCCAGAGTGGGTTCCATTCCACCTTCCTAGGCTCGGCCATCTGTTGCCATGAACTGCTTTTGCAAAACCGGGAAGGAGCCCAGTTCCAGTCTGTTCTATGAGGATGGATAAGTGTTGAGGAGTGGAATCCCACCCACGCCTTCTCCAGACTTGCTGTCCTCCCAGGGGCTGGACCATGCTTCCAACCAAAGTGCAGATAATACTAAATTTGACCGACCAATGGCCAGGTTCTGAAGAAGGCAGCTTCGTGCGTCTAGCACGCTTGCCATGCAGTTATTTATTTTATTTTTTTATTTTATTTATGCTTAATTTGTATCCCTCCCCGCCATGGCAAGCTCAAGGCGGCTTACAGAATGTATATAAGCATCAAAACAGCGAGACACGTTAAGACACAGAAGTTAGATTAAAACCACAGCACACAAAATTCAGGTTTTAAGGCACATAAATATTAACAAGATAAATCTGGACAAACACGACCCGATCAGTAAACAAGTATAAAGCCGACAGTCGTGATAGTCTGACCCACGAATCAAACAGTCATTAAGACTTATACAGAATGCTATCTATGTATTACAGTCTGAAGCACTACAACATGATAAACAAATCATAAGAAAGTAACAAAAGACGGCAGCGTTCCCGCGACATCCAGGTGGTCGACTGCCACCATAATCCGGGTTCTTGCTGGGCTTTTAGTTGTTAAGTTAGTGCTGATGTTGGGGGCAGGGCCACAATATTAAAAGGCGGCACCCTAATCGAAAGCCGGGTGGAAGAGCTCCGTTTTACAGGCCCTGCGGAACTGTAGGTCACACAGGGCCCTGATGTCATCCAGGAGCTCATTCCACCAGTAAAATGGGAGCTATTCCATCATCATCATCATCATCATCATCATCATCATCATCATCATCAAAACCATCATCATCAAAATCATTATTAGGGGTCATTTCGTAGAAAAAGAGGTGCAGGAGCTCATTAGCATAACTCATTAGCACAACTTATTTGCATATGCCACCCCCCCTGATGGCACCTGAAGTGTTTCAGAAGGCAACACCCACCACTCAGGCTCCACTGGACTGTTTAGGATTGCTAGCTATTGGGGGAGGGGGACATGTGCAGATCTGTCCTCACAGAGGAGGGAGAGCTTGTACCTGAATAAAACTTGGTCTTAAAGGTGCCACTGGACTGTTTTGGCCCGGGGGGCCGAGGGAGCTCTGCAAATTACCTGGCTGCTTCTTGCTCTGCCTGAGGGCTGCTGGGCGCCGGGGGTGGGGCTTGTTGCATGTGCCCGCCCCCTGGGCTCTTTACTGCCGGAGCTCTGCTCCTGTGCACTCCTGCAGGAAATGACCCCTGATTATCATCATCATCACTGTGGTTTATAGACTGCCCTTCCCTGTGCACAGGGCTCAGAGCGGTGTACAGCATTCGATACAACATTTCAGTAAAACATACTCAAATCGAATTGGACCGTTTAAAAACGACAGGCAACTATAAGTATTGCAGATGGCGCTTAAGGACCAATTTACGTCCTTAACCCCACATCACAAGAGCTGTGCTTCTCGAGTAACCAGTCTCCCTTTCCTTCTCTTAGAGGACCTTGCGGTGGAAGAGATGCTGTCCCAACTCTCCGCTGAGGTTCAGGTACTCATCCGATGTTACGCCGCCACGTGTGTGGTTTGCAAACAGGTTGGGGGGGTGGGGTGGGGAGAAATCCCGATTGTTTTCCGCCGAGGAATGCCTATTGCAGAGTACGTATTAAATTAGAACACCAAGTGAGGGTGCATTTTGCTTTCCAAAGGCTGCCCATCGTTCCCTGTGGGTTGGAGCACTTTCCCTTTTGAGGGACGGCTTGAGCGATTGGCCCCTGGACCTCGGCTCCAGACCCCCTAAGAAGATGCTACTTCTAGGAAGACCCTTCTTGCTCTGGCATGGGGAGTCAGAACATAGAGACTGGATGGCTTTTAGAAGAGCTTGAGCAGGATAGTTTTTTTGTTTGGGTTTTTTTTTTTGCATTTTGTGTGTGCGCGCCCCCGTGCCTGGAAGTCATGGCAACCTCTGGCGACTCCTACTGGGGCCCGGAGGGTGTTCAGAGAAGCAGCTCAATGGCCTGCCTCTGGTCTCCTGGCCCTGGTATTCTCTGGAGGTCTCCCATCCAAACACTTGCCGGGGTCAGCCCTGCTTAGCTTCCGAGTTCTGACGAGATCGGGCTTGCCTCGGCTATCCAGGTCAGGGCGAACAGAATACTTTTAATAATAATGAGGGGGGGCGGGGCGTTGGTTGGTCGATGGCTCATCCCTCACTCGATGGTTTGCTAAACTATGGGGATTCTATTCTATGGACAAGCTGTCAGACAAGGTCTCGTCCTTTAATACCAATGCCCGTGGTAGCAATTTCCAATTAAAATGGTTTCCATTCTTGGAATATGTCTTTCGCAACGACATGCCTCCAAATGATAATGTACCAGGTAAATTCTATCATGTTCTACATTTTATGTGACTCTGTATAAGGACATGCCACTTAAAGGGCAGCTTGCCGTGTATCTCTTTTTATGTCTAGGTTTACTTTCTATTGTATTATTGTAGCTGAGTTATAGTTTGCTCCATTTCTATGAAGTTTTATAGCTCGATTCGCAAGAGGAGGAGGAGGAGGAGGAGAAGAAGAAGGGCAAACCGAGGATACACTTCCCAGAGACCTGGATTTGGGATCTGGTTCTGCTCAAGTAAGTGCACCACTCTCGAGGAAGGGACCAGAAGCCACAGAGGTGAGCGGCGGGGTCTGCCTCAGGTGTGGTGTCTCCTAACAGGCTCCCTGAGGCAGTGATGTTCCCAGTTGACAGCGTGGGCATGACTCTGTCCAGTAAACCCCTGCCTAGCTATGCTTTTGAATCCTTATTTTCTATACACACATACATATGGAGCTGCGGTGGCTCAAGTGGTTAAGACGCTGAACTGCAGGCTGTGGAAGGTCAGTAGTTCAGCAGTTCGAGACCCGGGTGCCGCATGATGGAGTGAGCTCCCATCTCTAGTTCCAGCTCCTTCCAACCTAGCAGTTCAAAAGCAAGAAATTGCAAGTACATAAATAGGTACCACTTCGGTGGGAAGGTAACAGCGTTCTGTGTGCCTTGGTGTTTAGTCATGCCGGCCACATGACCACGGAAACGTCTTCGGACAGTGCTGGCTCTTCGGCTTTGAAACGGAGATGAGCACCACAACCCTAGAGTCGGATTTGACTGGCTTTCGAGCAAGGGAACCTTTACCTTTATAAGGACATACTGCTTAAAGGGAAGCTTGCCGTGTATCTCTTTTTATGTCTAGGTTTACTTTCTATTGTATTATCGCAGCTGAGTTATAGTTTGCTCTGTATTTCTATATAATTTCTATATAATAACGAACTGCTGTCAGTCACGATTGACTGACAGCCATCCCTAAAGAGGTTTGCAAGGCAACAGATGAGCTGGGGGCGATTTGCTGTCGCCTTCCTTCCTTCCTATGCACAGAAACCGGGGCCTTCCTTGGCGGCCCAAAGCACTAACCATGGCTGACCCTACTTAGCTTTCCACGCTCTGATGAGCTCAGGCTAGCATGGCTTGTTCAGGCTGCTATGCTGCTTATGCTTAAGCTTTATGCCCCGCCCTTCACTTGGGGTCGCAGAGTGGCTTACAAACTCCCTTTCCCTTCCCCTCCCCACAACAGACACCCTGTGAGGCAGGTGGGGCTGAGAGAGCTCTGACAGAAACTGCTCTTGAGGGAACTGCTCTAACAGAACTATGGCTTGCCCAAGGTCATCCAGCAGCTGTGAGTGGAGGAGTGGGGAATCAAACCTGGGTTCTCCCAGATTACTGTCCACGTACTTAACCACTACCAGGGGCGGATTAAGGCTCACTGGTGCCCTAAGCACTGACCAATCTTGGTGCCCACCTCCTTTCCACACTGACCCAGTCTATTTTAGTTGTTGACCTGTCTGACCAGATATACAATGCAGGTTGCAGCGATACAAAAATGTATTCATATGATAACACAACATACTGTACAAACTAAACCAAGCTTGGGCTACATAAAGTTCTTTTCACCCCTTCCCCAACTTTGTGGTTCCCCCTTTGGCCCTGGTGCCTTAAGCACCTGCTTGGTCTGCTGAATGGTTAATCCGCCCCTGACCACTACACCAAACTGGAGGAGGAGGAGGAGGAGGAGGAAGAGGAAGAGGAAGAGGAAGAGACGGAGAAGATTGGATTTATACCCCACCCTTCACTCTGAGTTTCAGAATGTCTTACAAACTCCTTTCCCTTCCCCTCCCCACAACAAACACCCTGTGAGGTGGGCGGGGCTGAGAGAGCTCTTTTGAGGACTGCTCGTGAGAGAACAGCTCTGAGAGAACTTGTGACTGACCCAAGGTCACACCAGCAGCTGCATGTGGAGGAGTGGAGAATCGAACCCGGTTCTCCCAGAGTCTGTGCTCTTAACCACTTTGCCAAACTTGCTCTCCGTAAGACATAACCCTCTTGAGGACAGGTGAGGCAATAAAAATGGTTGAATAAATAAATACCTATGGTGGGTTGGCCCTGACCTGGATGGGCCAGGCTAGCCTGATCTCAACAGATCTCGGAAGCTAAGCAGGGTCAGCCCTGGTCGGTATTTGGATGGGAGACCACCAAGGAAGTCCAGGGTCACAACACAGACGCGGCGTTTGCAACGGTATAGGTGCCGGTTGCAATCGGTGTACTTACCGGCGTTCACACGTAGAACATCTGTCTTCCGTCCCTAACCATTGCAAAGCCCTTTAAACCGTTGTACTCTGTCACTAGGTCCCCAAGTGGTGGTATCCTAAGTACAACGGTTGTAATCGGTTTACCCCCGTCTGACCGCTCTCCACCGGTGTCTAGCCACTTCCGTTCGGAAGCCCGAGGCTTCCGATTTTCGCCCACCTTTTTTTTTTAAGGTTGCCGATATGCGCTTGGGCGAAGCTTCATCCCGGCGTTTGTTTTTTTTAAAAAAAGAAAAGGCCCTTAGTTTAACTTTCTGGAGGTGTCCGGGACTTCAGGGAGGCCAGTTTGGGCTTTAAAGTTTAAAGGTAAGTCCTTACCTTTACACTTTAAATGTAATACGGGATGTTTTGAGCATGCGCAAAGATCGCCATTCTGTGGATGGCTGCCTATGCGCATGCTCAGATTGAGTTAAAAAAAAAAAAAGCCGACGCCCGCAGCATGTGAACGGGCATACAGCGATGGGCTCCACTGTGAGGGAGGTAAGTGTGATCGCTTTTCAGCCGGCATAAACTGCACCGGTTCCAACTGGTACAGTTTATGCAGGCTGAACCACCCCGAGTCAGGCAATGACAAACCGCTTCTGTTCGTCTCTTGCCTTGAAAGCCCTCCAGGGTCGCTATAATCTGCTGCAACTGGATGGATGATGAAGATGATGATTTTAAAATGGCCAGCTTGACTCTGATACTTCCATGTCAATTTTGGCCTCTGATGTATGCAGTTCAAACTTGAGAATGTTCTGTTTTGTGCCATCTTCTGTTTCCCCCCACCAATTTCCCCCCCATTTAGACTAATAATAACAAAAATTAGAGTGTCATTTCCCCTCAATGGCTTATAAAATACCATGAAAGAAATGAATGACTCAGGAATCACTGAAGCAACAATTTGTCGGACGAAAAAGCTGACATTGACGATGTACCAAAAAAGAAACAGAACACATCCACACATCCCACGTGTGAGAAAAACACGGCCAAACAAGCAAACATTGATTTTTTAAAAAATGTAATTTTCATATCAGGCAAGCTTTCTCCACCAAACATGAACTTGAGGTGGCTTACAGTAAGAACATAACCCTGCAATGTAAAGGTAAAGGTTTCCCTAGCTCGAAAGCGCGGTGCTCATCTCCGTTTCCAAGCCGAAGAGCCAGCGCTGTCCGAAGATGTATCCGTGGTCATTTGGTCGACATGACTAGACGCCAAGTCGCATGGAGCACTGTTACCTTCCCACTGAAGCGGTACCTATTTATCTACTTGCAATTTCTTGCTTTCGAACTGCTAGGTTGGCAGGAGCAGGAACTAGAGATGGGAGCTCACTCCGTCATGTGGCACACTCAGGTCTCGAACTGCTGAACTATCGGCCTTCCAGCCTACAACTTCAGCGTCTTAACCACTGAGCCATCAAAGCAATACTTCTAACCAGCTAGAATAATCAATTTTATTTGTTTACTTGGTTTATACTCTGCCTCTCCCATTAGCTTTTCTTCTCAAAGGAGCTATTTATATCTGTATGTATAAAGCGCTGTAAAGTCATAGCCAACTCATGGCAACCCCGTGGGGCTTTCAAGGCAAGAGACGAACAGAGGTGGCTTGCAACCGCCTTCCTCTGCATAACGACCCTAGACTTCCTTGGTGGCCTCCCATCCAAGTATCAACCAGGGCTGACCCTGCTTAGTGTCCGAGATCAGATGAGGTCAGGAGCAATTTGAAGTATGGTGGTGGAAAGTACCACCAAGTCTCAGAAACGTACGGTGACCCGGTAGAGTTTGCAAAGCAAGAGACGGACAGAGGTGGTTTGCCATGGCCTGCCTCTGCATAGTTCCAGTTCAGGTTTATTCATGTTTTAACAGCCGATAGGACATACACTACAGAAACAAATTTAGGGATTAGAAATCGCAGTAAAACAAACGTTTGCCACGTCCACAATGCAGCTTTTGCAGAGGCTACTCAGAAGGGATCTTAATCTTGACATGTCAGGAATGGTCGAGTACTCCAGTAGCCATTTCGAAGGAAGGAAGGAAGGAAGGAAGGAAGGAAGGAAGGAAGGAAGGAAGGAAGGAAGGAAGGAAG